TAATAAACTTCAGTCGAATAACAGCTAAAACTCGAACTGTAAAGTCAAGAAAGCGTTCTTTAATAAACTTCAGTCGAATAACAGCTACAACTCGAACTGTAAAGTCAAGAAAGCGTTCTTTAATAAACTTCAGTCGAATAACAGCTACAACTCGAACTGTTAAGTCAAGAAAGCGTTCTTTAATAAACTTTCTGTTGAATAACATCTACAACTACGACTGATTCTTGGCTCTTCAGTTTGAGTTGCAGTCAAAATTCGACTATACGCTTTGAATACATTTGCTAAAACAGTTCCAAATGAAGTCCGTAATTACATGTAATTAGGCTTAYTCGACTGAAGTTTATTGAAGGACGCTTTTTTTGACTTTTACAGATTGAGTTGTAGTCAAAATTCGACTTACACGCTTTGAATCTTTGCTGAAACAGTTCGAAATGAAGTCCGTAACTCCGTATCATTATTCGACTGAAGTTTATTGTAAAGGACGCTTTCTTGACTTTGCAGTTTGAGTTGTAATCAAAATTCGACTTATGCGCTTTGAATCTTTGCTCAAACAGTTCGAAATGAAGGTCCGTAACTCAGTCATTATTATTAAGACATGAAGTTTATTAAAGGACGCTTTCTTGACATTACAGTTTGAGTTGTCTTTCTTGACATTACAGTTTGAGTTGTAATCAAAATTCGACTTATTTGGGGGCTTTTCAGTTAGTGACTTGACAGTTTGAGTCTACCATTATTAGAGTTTGCCTATAAAAATTAGGTAACACCTAATAGCGGAGCTCCAATAGCAATATAGAAGCTGAAAATGATTATCTAGTACTGCTATTTCAAAGGCAGATGCTTTGTTCTAAGGAATGTGAGCTACAACAGTTTTGTTGACATACGAACAAATATTATAAAGAGTAACTTATGTTTATGAGAATTTAGTTCGTACTAATATTGACTTCGGTAGACTTTGTTCCGCTGGATGAAGTTTAAAATTATAATCTATAAAGGTCAATTGATTAAAAGTAAACTGAAAGCTTCTCGGCAAAAAGTAGTCTACATAAGCTTACAATAATCAACAATGTTT